AGTACCCCTAATATATATAGACAATAAACGGGATGAGAAAGAAATCAGAGAAACATCACCCTTTACAATAGACACAAACAATATAAAATGTCTCGGGGTTACTCTAACCAAACAAGTGAAAGACCTGTGTAACAAGAACATTGAGTCTTTAAAGAAAGAAATTAAAGAAGATACCAGAAAATGGAAAGATCTCCCATGCTCTTGGATAGGTAGGATCAACATAGTAAAAATGCCAATCTTGCCAAAAGCAATCTACAGATTCAATGTAATCCCCATCAAAATCCCTGCACAATTCTTCACAGACCTTGAAAGAACAATAATCAACTTTATATGGAAAAACAAAAGACCCAGGATAGCCAAAACAACCCTGTTCAACAGGCAACATCCGGATCATGGGGGGTGATGGGAAGGGGAGAGGGGGAGTAGAAGGAAGGAGAACAGGAGGACTGAGACAGGGGAGGAATAGAGGAGGACAAGAAAAGAGATGCCTTGATAGAGGGAGTCAGTACAGGTTTGGAGAGAAGTCTGGCACAGAGGAAATGGTAGGAGGTCCACAAGGATAACCCCAGTTGAGAGTCTGGACAATGGCGGAGAGGCTGTTTCTGACGCCCTTCCCCTATAATGAGAATGATGACTACTTTGGTTATTACTCCTATAGCCTTGACCCAGTAACTGATGGAAGCAGAAACAGGCACACGCAGCTAAACACTGAGTCATACTCCCAGAATCCAGTTGCAGAGAGGGAGGAGAGATGAGCAAATGAACCAAGACGGAACTGGAGATACCTGCATGTTGGGGAAGTCCTGTTATTTGCCTGTGCATTTGTCAATAAATTACTGTCTGGCCAATAGAAAACCTAGATAGGAGGGACTAGGAGTCGAGGAGGATTCTGGGAAGGGAAAACACAAGAGAGTCAACATGTGACGCCATGGGGGTAGGACGCCGGGAACTATTCTCCGGTAAGAAACATACTTAGATTAACAATTATGGGGTAATTACTTAAGGCAGAGCTAGCCAGTAAGAGACAAACAAGGCCAACAGCTTCATAATTAATATAGCCTCCTGTGTGTTTATTTGGGACTCATGCGGATCTAGAGCCAGGCTGGCGCGGCAGAGCCCAGGCGACTGGCGGGGGATAAACCAAAGCGGCTAGCAAAAGAAAAAGCTTCTCTTAACACCTGCAGAAACAGTTGACCTGACCTAATGAGAGCTTGCAGACCCTAGTCGTAAAGCTGGGGAACCATCATTGGAACGAACCAAGCCCTCTGAATGTAGACGTCAGCTAGGAAGCCAAGGCAGTCTATAGAACCTTTAACAGTGGAGTCAGTGTTTATCCCTAGAGCACAAATGGATTTTGGGAGCCCATTCCCTGTGGAGGGATACTATTGCAGCTCAGATATGGAAAGGAAGGCCTGGGCCCTCTCCAAACGATGTGATGGACTTTGATGATCCCCCGTGGAGGGTCTCACTATCCCTGGGGAGTGGGTGGAGGTGAGTTGGGGCTTTGGTTGGAAGCATGGGAGGGTGAGGGAATGAGGAAATGGATATGTAAATAAGAGTATTTCTAAAATAAAAAAAATACACTTGGAGAATTGCCAAAGAAAATTGTTATCTAGTAAGAATTGTCACACTAATTGTAATTTCATTTTAGGGCATTTTTCTGTGCTTTCACACTAGTGAGGAATCAATTGCTCTCAGAGCTTAAGTTCACAAAGAAAAGCCGGTGTGATCATCTCCCCAATTACTGTCCCTGAAGTCATATTCCAACATGCCTGCTGGGATGTTTGCCGGGATGCTTGCCAGGATACATGCAATGGTCTCAGGACAGCCAGCTCTGTTCTATCCTCATAGCCATGAATATCTAATGTAATATTTTTATGATTCTTGAGATATGAGAATTGACAACTTACTCCAGATGGTATATCGTTTCAGTGAAACACTGCACTCCTTATGTATTTTGTGAATGACATGTTCATTATATTCCTGAAGTCAATGATTTGACAGCATCTCTATTAGTTTTGGAAGAAATGGAACTGTCCAAACAAAACTCCTACTTTTATATATGTCAGGGCCATGTATACAGGTTCATGCAAGGGTGTGTGTGTGTGTGTGTGTGTGTGAGTGAGTGAGTCAGAGGTTGTTATTAAGGGCCTTCCTCTTACACTGTACATATTTTTGAAACCTTTTTGCATGTACTGACTGTTTAAAATTTATTACATACAGTGTATTTTGATCACATTTTCCCCTCCCTCAATTCCTCTTGATCCTCCCTATTTCCCTTCATGTTCTTTCTCTCAAAAAAAAAATGAAAAAATACCAAAACAAAACAAAACAAAAATCACACAAAACCATGTAGTCTGTTTGGTGATGACCAACTAATCCTGATCACACAGCCTACCCTGGAGAGTAACTAATATACTCAGGGACACTCCATTGGAAAAGCAGCATTGTCCCTTCCCAGCCGGTAGCAATGCAAATAGCTTCCTAGGAGTAGAACTTCGTGCTCACATCCCCTTCTCTGTGCTGGGATTTTGTCTGGTTTGAAACTGTGCAGGTCCTGTGCCTGCTGTCCCAGTCTGTGTGAGTTCGTATGTGCATCAGTCTGTGTGAGTTCATATGTGCATCAGTCTGTTGGGTCTGGGTGACACTTTTTCTTTGGAGTCATCCACCACCTCTGGCTCTTAAGATCTTTCTACCTCCACTCACATAGATCCCTGATGCTTCAGGGGAGGATTTGATGAAGTGATCCATTCAGAACTGAGTGCTCCAAACTCTCTCACCCTCTGCTCATTGCCCAGCTGTGGGTCTCTGTCAATGACCATCTACTGTAAGAGGGCTGAGTGGCACACTGATATATACATAGGTATAGCATTATTTCATTAAGAGTTGTTGTATTGCTGTGTTCCTTTAACAGAATAATAGTAGTTGGTTTTCCCCTAGGAGAACAGTGTGTCTAGTCTCAAGGTTTTGGCCACGTTAGAAGTGGCAGAAATGGGTTTCATCTTATGGATACAGACATCCAGTTTGACCAGCACCATTTGTTGAAGATGCTATCTTTTCTCCAGTGTATAATTTTGGCTTCAAGTGTTTATAGCTGTGCAGTTGTGCTCAGATCTTCATTTCTGTTTCATTGATCTTCTGTTTTTATGCAATCTGTTTTTATGCAATACCATACTGAATTTTTTACTGTAGCTCTGTATTTTGCTTTTGATAGGATAGGCATTTTCAAAATATTAATCCTACTGATCCATGAGCATAGGAGATCTTTCCATATCTTGGAGTCTTCTTCAATTTCTTTAATATCTTAAAGATATTGTTTTTATTGAACAAGTCTATCATCTTTTATTAGAGTCATTCCAAAATATTTTTGAAACTGTTGTACTAGGTATCATTTCCATGATTTGTTTCTCAGTAAGTTTGTCATTTGTATGTAAGAAGGATGCTGATTTTCTGTGTTGATTTCCTGAACTGATACTTTGCTAAATGTGTTTATAAACTATAGAAGTTTTCTGCTGGAGTCACTAGGGTCTTAAATATAAGACCATATCATCTGCAAATAAGAATATTTTCTCCTCCCTTTCCTAGTTGTACTCTCTTAGTTTTTTTCAGATGTCTTATTGCTCTAGCTAAGACTTCAAGTACTACACTGAACAGGTATAGAGAGAGTGGACATCCTTATCTTTTGCCTGGTTTTAGTGGAAATGTTTTCCGTTTCTCTATATTTAGTTTGATGTTGACTGTGGACTTACTGTGTATTGCCTTTGTTATGTTGGGGTATCTCCCTTGAAACCCTAATCTCTCCAGGATTTCTATTATAAAGGAGTGTTGGATTTTTGTCAAAGGCTTTTTCTGCATCTAATTAGATGAGGCATTTTTGTCATTCAGTTTATGTATGTGGTGAATTACATTTATCTATTTATGGATGTTAAACTATCCCTGCATCTCTGGGATGAGGCCAACTTGATAATGGTGGAAAATCTTTTGGATATATTCCTGGATTCTGTTTGCAAATATTTTATTGAGAAAGCCTGCATGTGCGTTCATAAGGCATATCGATACCTTTTTCAGATAAGTTCTCTCACTAATCCTAGAGCTAATTGATTTCGCTAGGCTGGCCAATGGTCTGTCTGGCTCTGCTTCTTCAATGGTGACGTTACAAGTACGTGCCACCATACCCAGCCTTTATGTAGGTGTTGGGGATCCAAGCTCAGGTTCTCATGCTTCCATAGCAAGCACATCACTGAGCCATCTCTCCAGTCCAGCTTCTACTTTCTGACCTCTTAAAATACTAGCTGTCTTTTTAAAGTATATATATCACACACGTAAACAACTGGTTTGTGTTTACAAAATAGTATTTGAAAAAAAAAACAATGTGTTCTTAAAAGCTGTCTCTTGGAGTCTGCTCTTTTCTGAAGAGTAATGGCAGGGGAGGGAGGGGAAACTAAGGAGACTACAGGGAGAGGAAACTGTGGTCGGGGTGAATTGTGTAAGAAAAGAATAATTTCAATAAAAAATAAAATGTCAAAAATAATAAAAAGTAAAAGTTGAACTTGGAAAAAAGTCCACATACTTAGCCTAACTTAAAATTTAATAATTCTCTAAGGAAATAAAAAATGAGGTTTCTGATGTCTGTTTGAATAAATTATAGAGACTGGAATTATGCATAAAATTATTTCATGAAACCCAAAGGGAAAAAAGCATGACCTGCTATTTAAACCCTCACCTATCTGGAGCATATTTTCTCTGACTACCAGCCTATATTTTGAGCAAGTGACATATACAAGGAAAAAACTAGGAGACGCTGATGTCTCTTGAAAAACAAAAGCATCAAACAGTTTATCAGCAATGTGTGTTGAATTGTATTCACAATCTTTTCTAAAATGTGTCCGCATAATATAAGCAGTCATGTGTCCTACAATTTCTACAGAGTAGAAAATGTCAACATTCTTTATTGGATGTACCCTAAGTAACATCATCTTCTTTCTGCTATCATTAAACAGGGAAGGCCATGGTAAAATCTCAGTATTTGCTGTCAAAATGGCTTTGGCCACATTGTGTGGAGGGAAGATCATGGACAAGTTAAGATGTAAGTTATCCCCACCCCCGCCTCCTGGCTTGTCCCTGCCGCGTGCCTTACATCCCGTTTCAAATGCAGTCTTCTTTGGCGTTTGAATTTTAGAATAAAAATATTTCCACATTGGATAAATTTTAATGAAGTGAACATTCCTCTCTACTTTCAAATTATCATAATTTATAACTGCCGGTCTCCAGAAACTAAAATACTCAATTTCCACTAATTTAAAATCTTGTTGACATTGTGATTTCACCCCATCTCTTACCCTAAATATTGTGAGTATGGTATGCAATGCTATGTTAGAAAGGCCATGACAACTGGCATTGATAATCCAAGTTGTGAGTCTAGCCATGCCATTGATTTTCTAAGTTATGCCATGGATATGATTTCACTTCTTTAATCCTTTAGTTTCCTTCTGCATTTTTTTTTTGGTTTTTTGAGACAGGGTTTCTCTGTATTGTTTTGGAGGCTGTCCTGGAACTCGATCTGTAAAACAGGCTGGCCTCGAACTCACAGAGATCCACTGCCTCTGCCTCCCGAGTGCTGGGATTAAAGGTATGTGCCACCACCACCCAGCTGCTTCTGCATCTTAATGGGGGGATGGGCATTGAACCTGGAGAGTGTCTCCTAGCTCTGTCAACCCTGGAATACCTTCCTCCCTTTCTGCTTGTAAGATTCTGTGTAGTCAAAGGGGAGTGATTTAAAGAAGGGAAACCCCCTTTGTTTCTTGGGAATCTAGCCAGACATACTAGGTGAACAATTTCTCACTGGCTAACCAGATTAGTGACAGGAGGCAAACCTGAGGTGGCTTCTGTTTCCTCCACATCTGTGATTCCTTTCATGGATACCCAATACAGCCAGAATTCAGAGACACCCACCCAGAACCTGGGCAGTCCGTTTCTCTTTGGTTAGCCTAGGAGACAAAGAATTTGAAAACTGTCGACTTCAATGTTTGACTGAGAGACAATAAATTGGAAGTTCCAGGAACCGGTGGCCTTCTCGTCACTCTCTAAGCAGCTTCAGAATTATCTAGGAAGCACTTCTTCAAGATGAGGCCAAGAAAAGGGAACGTAACAACGTGAAAGAAACCAGACGGGAAACCCAGAAGAGCCCGGCTGCTGCCTTCATGTCACAGCCATTTATGCCAAGGACATTAGAGAAATGTTTCAAAAAAATTAAAATCTTCAAAAGCATCTTCAAATACTCATTCAATGTTGTGTTCATAGACACATGAATAAAAGAGTCCTAGTTTTTTAAGATTTGTTTTATTATGTATACAGTGTTCTGCAGGCCAGAAGAGGGTATCAGCTCTCATTACAGATGGTTGTGAGCCACCATGTGGTTGCTGAGAATTGAACTCAGAACCTTTGGAAGAGCAGTCTGTGCCCTTAACCACTGAGCCATTTCTCCAGTCCTATATTAGAATAAGTTTGAGCCAAACTAATGAAAGTCAGTCTTCTAAACATGAGGATCCTCTGAGCCTTTCCTGAAACCAATGAGTCCTTGTCCTGGAGGACCCAGGCTCTTCCTGGAGGACCCAGGCTCTTCTGCTCAGCTCCTGGTGTCAGGTGTTGCTCTCTCTCTCTCTCTCTCTCTCTCTCTCTCTCTCTCTCTCTCTCTCTCTCTCTCTCTCTCTCTCTCTCTCTCTCTCTCTCTCTCTCTCTCCTGTCCAGTCTTATTGCCCATCTCAGAACAGTCACTAAAGCAGTTACTGGTAAAAGAAACGTGTGGCAGACTTATCACTCATCTTCAGCTCCTGGGCTGGGAAGAGCCACTTTTCCTCTAAGGAAGGATCAGATTTGAATGGAAGGCTGTCAAGAAGGCAGTGGGAGAAGTGATTGCACACAGGCCAGGAAACCTAAATTAAATCCTAGGAATACATAACGTAAACAGAGAGAACCAGCTCCTAGGATTTTCCCCATCTACACACACACACACACACACATACACACACACACACACACACACACACATACACACACACACACATACACGCACGCACACAAAGCATATATACATGCATGCATACACACAAAGTAAAAATCTTAAAATATATATCAAATGCATGGTTGCTAGGCAAGCAACTAACAACACAAGCACATTTAACAACAGAAAAAAATGAAGCAAATGTTGTTAAATGCTTTGAAATGCAATAAAGGGGATACCAATTCCATTTTATAACTTCTTAGGGCCACCACCACCCAATACGCGTGGTGTTCACCATGTTACTTCTGGCGACACCATTAAGACAACCTACAGAAAGAAGGGCACTTTCTGTGGGCACATGGCCGAACATAAAGTGACCTCCTTTTTGGTTTAATTGTCCTCGTCTTGTAATTAGCTGCTTTAATGTGTTGGAACACTTGTCTCTTAGACAATACTGTTGGTTAATTTTTCCTGAGTGTGTCCGTGTGTGCCTGCATACATGTGTATGTGCATGTATGCATACTCCCACCCGTGTGCATCTCTGCTTGGGTGCATGTGCGATAGAAGACACCGTAGGAATTCTGTACATCTTCTTTGAGACAGGGTTTCTCTTTGGACTGGAGCTGGCCAATTAAACTAGACTGGCTGGCAAGCGAGTTCCAAGGGTCCTCCTCTGTCTGCCTTCCTGGTGCTGAAATTACAGCCATGCACCACCACACCCAGAATTTTCCATAGTTCTAGGGTACAAACAAAGGTCTTATGCTTGCAAATCAAACACTGTACCAACCCAGGCAACTCTTCAACCCCAACAATCCAGATCTTAAGGAATTCCAAGTCCAAAGCCATAAGCCTGGGATGTCATATTTTATCCATATTTGCTAAGTACTTTCTTTTCCTTTAGTTCAGAAGACCCACACTATAGCAAACACCTTGTATTTATCAAATTTCTCTCTTTAAATGGGTACCAACAGCTACATGCCAAATATTCAAAAATGAGCAAGGGGGGTAGTTAACATTCAAACCAGAACCAACATTGCCTAAGCTCTTTCATTTAGTTATTTGAAAAGCCCAAGCAGAATTTGAAAAGGCACCCTGGCTTGGAAAATCAGAGCCTCAAAGAGACACAGGGTGACCCTGTTAGAACCACCTACCTTTCCCAAAGCAAGCAAGATGGTAACTCCCATGGAAAAGCCAGTCTGATTTTCCCTAGTTTTCTTTTCAGCTTCTACATATAAAATTAACCAACGTATTGTCCTGCTGGAAGCTTCTTTTTGATTTATTTATTCTTGGACAGTTTGACTAGAGCCTGAGTTAAAACTCAGCAAGCAAACAACATTGCAGAGATGATGAAGACAACACCTTGGTTCAAATTTAATTTCTTTTTTAATTAATATAAAATTACTTATATTTTGCACACAAATACACTGCGAAATGGTTAAATCTATCTGATTAACGTATGCACTATTTTATACAGTCAAGTGTACTAACACATATTTCATGACCTTGTCACCCTTCTGTGAAGGCTCTCTCTTGAACTGTTGCTTAGCCATAACTACATATTCTTTGACAACATGTTCACAACCCTGCCTGTCTTTTAAGTACTCCAGTCTGTGGTAATAACCATTCTCCACTCTACTTCTGAAATCACCATGCTTATTTTCCATGTGAGTCTGAACATGTAATGTTCATGTCCGTGTGTGGGGCTCATTTCACTCAACAGCACACCCCCTGGAGCTCATCAATATTGTTGAAGGTGGTAGGATTTCCTTGTTCCATAGCTGAACGACACTCCACTGGGGATGGGCCACTCTTACTTATCCATTTGTTAATGGAGACTCAGCTTGCCTGTACATCTTCACTGTTGTGCAGATGCCATCATAAGCCTGGAAGCAAGGCATTTCACCCACAAACGAGTTTCATTTAGATATACTTTTAGATGCATGCCCAGGAATAGAATTGCTGGATCATGTGGTGATTATATTTTTTCTAATTGTGTTATTTAACTCTATAATGGCTGAAATTTTTATTTCCACAACATCTGCAACTATTCCCTTTCCCCAAGTTCTCCCCCACGCTCATTCTCTTTTATTCTATTTGTTTGTTTGTTTGTTTTTCATTTTTACTAGAGACTGTATCTGGTCATGGCTTTCATTTGCATTTACTAGATGACCATTGACACTGAGCATTTTTATTAACCTCTAACCAATTTGTATGTCTTACTTCAGGAAATATCTACTTGGCTTCTTGGCCCATTTTCAGTCAGGTTTTTTTTCTTACTATTGAGTTATTTGAGTTCCTTATATATTTTGGCTATTAACCTCAGAATTTCTACAATGTCACCATTAATATCAATTGTGAAACATCATTTTTATTGGGAAGATTTCACATGAAGAGAGTTGATTCACATCCTAAAACCATAACCCAGTAAAAGCTTGTAATGTATGATATAGAATTACAGTGTAAATGTGATAGCCATGGCTTGTGATAGTCTTGGCTACATTCAAAGTGAACAGAGGTAGCACATTGAACTTATTGTAGTTTGTCTCAGCAGCTACATTGGCTGAGTGATTTATCTAATTAGCATTAGACAAACTAAAGGCGAGTCCTTCCATTCTGATAATTCCGGGGGTGGAGGGGATTAGGAAGCACCTTGGGAATTCAGCTGTTAGTGTTCATTAAGCTCACATCATGGCAGAAGAGAGGTCACAGCTCGGTGAAGGCAGAGGTACTCTGGGGAATAATCTGAAACCCTGGATTTACCTCATAGATCACCTGTGAGCCTAGGCTCCTCTTCACCACACAAAGGCCCTTCCTAATAAGTCACGTGCCCTCCACCCTGTTGGACAATGTGGTCTACAAAGCCTTCTGCCTCTGTGGGAAGTTACTAAGTGTTGGCTTCTTTCTTTTCATCCTTATCTCTATTGTGCCCTTTATTTTTCAAAAACACTCACTGAAATCCTAAACTTTTGATAATAACACAAATGGATAAATTGCTATTTAGATAGATGATACCTGGACCTCCCACATTTCTGCAGTGACAATTTCATTCTGTTTCCTAAGAGGTTGACAGTTTTGTCTTACTTTTCTGTTGGCATGATAAAATGTCCTGACTGAAACGACTCAAGGGGAGAAGGGTTTATTTGGTTCACAGTTCCCGAGGGATCCCATTGACGTGATAGAGAACACACTTAGCAAGAGTAAGAGACCAGTCTGTTCCTGCATCAGCTATCCAGTAGCACGGAAAGAACAGGAAGTGGGGCCGGACAGTAGAACCTCAAAGTCCACACCCACCAACAGACTTCCTCCAGCAAGGATCCATTTCCTGAAGGTTCCACCATCTTCCCAAACAACGCCACCCACGGCCAGGTGTTCGAACCCATGAGCCTATGGGGACCATCTCATCCCATAGGCTCATCACATACAAACCACAGCAGTGTGTAACACATATAAAATTTACCTTTGCAGCATTATGTGTGCGTTGGTAACTAACCTCAAGACAAAATCATGTTCTCTCTCTTATCAAAATATGTTAATATTATCCAAATTACAACTCACCTTCAAAAGGACACAGGCATTTAGCAAGACCCTGTCTTGAAACAACAAAAAGAAAACATTGGATATGGATATCATGCTGAGACAATTTCGGCAGAAAAATCAGGTTTCATGTTATGTTTTCATAAATAATACACTTGTTCTGCATTATTAGTACAAGAGATGTTGAAATAGAGCTTTATAATGTTTGTATGGTAAATACCTTTCCCCTTTCTTCCTATCAGATATTTTCTCAATGATCTCTGACTCCAGTGGAGTGATGGTTTATGGGAGATATGACCAGTTCCTTCGGGAAGTTCTCAAACTTCCCACTGCGGTTTTTGAAGGTCCTTCGTTTGGTTACACAGAACAGTCAGCCAGATCCTGTTTCTCCCAACAGGTAACATTGTTAAGGAAACCTTCCTAACACAGTTGTTGTTTTGTGTGTGTGACTTCTGGTTCAGGTGCCCAAATTCTTCTTCACAACGTTTGACAAATGGCTTGTGATCCAGCAACTAACATATATTTATATATCGCTGATACATATAGCTTATATCTAAATAGTAATAATTACTAGTGCTCATTCACCAAAAGGCAGATGCCACGCTAATCTACTGCCTAATTTAGTCTTTACAGAAATATATATATATATACACATCCCCAGTATCCTTGTCATTAATATCACTATATTATCAAAAGAACTGAATTGTCACTCAGCCCCAAATGAGGTATGCCTGCCCCCACACTAAGTTTTGCCAACATTCTTCAAAGGAGAGGCATTCCTCACATGCCACATGACTGTCAGGGTGGTCTAAAACATGATGTCCTCATAAGCCACATGACTGTTGGGGTGGTCTAAAACATGATGTCCTCACATGCCACACGACTGTCAGGGTGGTCCAATACATGATGCACATTGGTGTCTAAATCTCTCACAATGTGTCACAGTGATGCTTTCAGCTGGCCGTGTTGCTAGGGAAGATGCTTACTTTATCACATCTCCAGCTTATACCTCTTTGGAAAGACCATACATTCATTCCCCAATAAAATATAGTGGTAATTTCTAAATTCATGCAGATAATGTTTGTTCACAGTCATACAGTTTAAACTAATCAGATATGCTTTCTTAAGTGGTCTGTTCAATTAAAACATTAAACGAAGTTTAAAAGGGAAAGAAATGGCACAGCAGCTACTGCAAAACCACACTGTGCACCCAGCTAGTGACATCATCAGTTTGCATATACTTGGCCGTCTGCAAAGTTGAACCTGCATCAAGTGTCACTCCTACCATACATCTGCAGAAATGTAACTAGCCTCCTGATGAGTAAAGACATGCACGACAGGCTGCATTAGATGCTAACTCTGCCCTTATGTAATCATCACAGTCCCAACCCCAACATTCAGGGCTTAGCTGCTCCTGAACATCCCTCTACCCCTGCCCTGAGTCAATACAGTCTCCTCTCAGTGACTCCATTTTGTTATTTCTCCTAGCTGCATCCTGGTACCCATTGTCCATTGTTTCTCCATCTCTCTTCCTCCTCCTCCTTCCAGCTTCTAAGGAATTATCCTTTACTCTTTGAGATGAGAGTTTTAGCTTCTACATGAGTGAAAACACATAGTGTTTTTCTTTCTTTCTTGTTTTTTTTTTTTGTGGATTTTTGAGACAGGGTTTCTCTGTGGCTTTGGAGGTTATCCTGGAACTAGCTCTTGTAGACCAGGCTGGTTTCTAACTCACAGAGATCCACCTGCCTCTGCCTCCCCAGTGCTGGGGTTAAAGGTGTGCACCACTGCCACCAGGCTAGTGTTTGTCTTTCTATACCTGACCTTCAAACATAAAATTACTCAAATGTTCAAAAACTATTAAATAAGATAGTCTCATGCTAAAAGCTCCTTTCAAAATATCCTAAAGATTGTCTCATAACGTCATTCTTTATTTATTCTTAATGATGAGAAATTTATACACATCCAAGTTACATTTAATCTCTTGGAAAGTTCAGGATCAATTATAATTTAGCCTATACGATTAAGTAACCAAAGTGGATAACGTCATCCGAAAATTTTAAAAAAGATACACAAATAAAAACAAGTCCAGTTTATTTTTGATTTAATGTCTTTATAGCCACAATTTAAAAGGCTGAAATTCAGGGGCAGGGAGGAGGTGACTGGAAAGATGGCTCAGTGGTTAAGAGCACTGACTGTTCTTGCAGAGGACTTGTGTTCAATTCCCTACATGCACATGGAGTCTTCCAACAGTCTGTAACTGCAATCCCAGGAGATCTGGCTCCCTTTTTTAACCTCCATGGGCACCAGGCACTCATGTGTGTGCACACAGACATACACATAATCAAAGCACACATACACCCATACATGTAAGAAATAAATAAACAAATGACTGAAATTCTAAATGTGTTTGAAATATTTCACTGGGAAAAGTTATAGCAGTGTAATAGCTTTGAAGGAAAATTTTCTTTTAGACATATAAATTCTGATATCTTTTAAAACTACTGTCTCCTAAGCAATGATCCCGTGATGTGGGATATTTTGATGGCACTCTAACACTCCTGAGACTGTCCAATAGAGTTATACCTTGAACCAGAGGGCAGTGCCAGTGACTGGCTGGCCAGAATTGGCCATAGAGAAGCCAGTAATTTGGATATAGAAGACACACAGGAAGGAAAGGGTGGGGAGGAAATTTTGGGTTTCCTCTTGGTTCTGGGACAAGGGAAGAGAGGTATCTCCAGCAATAAGCAAGGTCAGCTAGTTGCTACCAAGCCTCTCTGAGCTGGCAGGTTTTCACCCCAGCCTTTGACTTATGAGTCTTATTGATAAACAGAATAATAGAGACTTAATTTAAACCTACATATAGCAGCAGCAGCAGGGTCAGAGCCTAGGGACCAGAGGCCCCCCCCAGGCCTTGGCCTGAGTGGCCAGCAGTGCACAGCCTGAGGGGCTGTGGGACCACAGACAATAATTAAACCATCAATAGACTCATGTGACGCCACTAAGCTGACAGAAAAGCATGAATCCAGAATCTGTTATTAGTGAGATGCAAGGTTTAGCCCACAATATGGGCCTTAGAAACACTACACCTCTTTGGGACTCACTATTACTAAAACTACTATGGTCCTGTCTACCTTGATATCCTGGTTCAAATTTTCAAATAAAATAATTGTAACATTTGACCACACGATTGCTGTTATTCCGGAATTCCAGCGGAGCCATTCATAATAGCCACTAAATACTGAGTGTGTAAGCATTAGAGGAAAGTCATCATTCACAAACAGCCCAACCCACAGGGAACTACATACAGTCTGTGTCATGAGGACTTCTGAGTTAGTGCAGATTTCGTCTCATCATCTTTCCTTGCTTTCACACCACCCCTCATCTCTGAGACAGAGGCGCAGAGTCCTCTATGATTATCCCCTGAGTAGACTCAGTGCAGAAAATCTGGTCTCATGACATTTGGGCACACAAAGCAGTGGATGTCCTCGGTTGTAAACAAGTACAACAGTGCCCTTGGCAAGTTCTGTGTCTCCCTAGATAAGGAGTTAACTGAGTGAGTGTTCTGTTTCCTTGTCAAGCGACATGTGGCTAGCCCAAGAGTTCAGATTGTTCTCTGACCTACACCTTTGTGGTTTTTCTTCTTCTGATGCAGAAAAAGGTCACATTAAATGGCTTCTTGGACACACTCATGTCAGACCCTCCTCCACAGTGCCTGGTCTGGCTGCCTCTTCTGCATCGACTGGCGAATGTAGAAAATGGTGAGTAGTTATTGCTGAGCCAAAGATGGTGCTTAAGTTGGTCAACGTAGACCACCAAGTTGATAGTTATGAAGTCCATGTAGTTTTAGGGAAATTTGTTTAGTGGACCACTTAACCAACCTACCTCCTGACCTACAAAATATTATATGTTACATGCAAAATACCTCAACTGCATTGCAACCTCAGTTACAAGCTATCTGTGTTCAATAGAAAGATTCCAATAAAGGATATTTTTGGGGAACTAGAGAGATGACTCAGGGGTAAAAGCACTGGTTGCTCTTCCAGAGGACTTGGGTTCAATTCCCAGCACCCACATGACAGCTCACAGCTGTCTGTAACCTCAGTTCCAGGTGACTGGACACCCTCACTCAGACACATATGCACACAAAATAAAAATTTTTTAAATAAATAAAACATTTTAAAAACATTTTAAACAAAAACCATTTTCTAAGACATTAGATGTAAATTTTCCATATTGGTATCTATGAATAGGTGAAAGAAATGGCAAGGAAATAAATGAAAGCAATAAATGGTAGCAACTTGCTCACCTTAAAGCATGTGTTCAAGGTTAAACATGTCTATAAAGTATATCTATGTTAAAGACCAGAGTAATGTAAACTTCGCTGCATGTTTCTTTTCAAAAGTGGCAAAGGGCCAGGCGTTGGTGGCACATGCCTTTAATCCCAGCACTCTGGAGGCAGAGGCAGGCAGATTCTCTGTGAGTTCAAGACCAGCCTGGTCTACAGAGCTAGTTCCAGGACAGCCTCCAAAACAATACAGAGAAACCCTGTCTCGAAAAACCAAAAAAAAAAAAAGTAGCAAAGGTTTCTAATATAAGAGTTGTTTATGCTGTTTATCATTGACATACCCAAGTTTAAATATAAAACACAACCTATGACAGGTTTAAAGAAATTTATACATGGATCAGACTAAAACCTCTATCTAATGTTTGTAGTTTTATTGTCAAATAGAATAGAAAATAATCTATGTCTATATGTTGTTTTAATAATCGTTAGGGATAAAGTTGGCTTTGTTTTAAATTCTCATTTGGAATATTTATCATCTGACTTTGTTGTCTCTCAGGGTTATAATAAACTTCTATTTTGCTTTTAGACAAAATTAAAGACTGAATTTATTAGTTCCTTTGTAATTACTAAGAATCATACGTATACAAGAGCCAAGAGCCCTAAATGCCTAGTGTGACACAGGATGGGTTCAGAGCTCTGGTCCCCATCTGAGAAGGCATCATGAACCAATCCCAATGCTGTGGTTTCAGCTCTGAAATCTCCGTGTTTCCTATCACAAAAGAGGTCCTGTTTCTTAGGACCTGTCCAAGGCAGTTACCCAGGCTTAATTCAATCCTTAGCTTCCCCGGGTACCAGGAGAGGGGCTTCAAATGTCCCTTGGACAGCAGCACATCCCGAATGCATCATGGTCTTTTCTCACATTTTACTTCGTATCCTCATTTATTTTCATCTGTAATACATTTCTTGCCCAGTTAATCAGATAACTTTAAAAACAAACAAGGATTATTGTTATTGTTACAGCTGTTGCTGCTATTGCTGCTGCTGTATCTTTAACTCGTGGCATTTAGACAATTTGGATCTGGTTATATATTAGTTTCCGATTGCCAAGATTTGACATGGCCATCCTGGCAGCTCGCATTTCCTGACAAAACAAGGGAGGTGTCTCTCAAACCGTCTAAATCAGAACTGTGTTCAAATAATTTATCTTTGGGGGACCTAGCCTTCTGCCTCCAGAAAAGTGTGTGTGTGTTAGATAAAGGCAATGCCACTCATTAAATAAGCCCATTAGCTACTCCATTGTTTTTAAGGAACTCAGTTCTCTCATCTAGTTTTATTATTCCCCTATTTCATTTCTTTTTCTACCTCCCATTTCTATTTCATTAACATTTGCCCCTTGCCTAGTGAATACTTAACTGTGCTCATTCATTGTGCTTCTGTGTCTTCATGACCTCTGCTGGTCTCCGGGAGGCGGAGTGGGGGAAGGACTAGTCAGTCTGAATAATTTACATTCTCAGGACTTAAGAAATAGGGGTCAGAAGAACAAAGGCATTGCAGAGATTTGTGTTGCCGAAGGATAATTCTTCCTCCTGGTTCACATCTACTCCCTGCCCCACCCCTGTATATACACATTGCTTAAGAAGTGTAGTTCCAGGAACAAGCCAAACACTTCTCACAGTCAAAATGGATCGTGGTCTGAAATCACCACGGTACACAGCAGAAAAATAAAATTCCTTGTAAGTTGTGTGTTTCTTTAGTTTAGTTCACACTTTTCCTGGTGTCTTCCTCATTTACTTCCTTCCTAGTCTTCCATCCGGTTGAGTGTTCCTACTGTCATAGCGAGAGCATGATGGGATTTCGCTACCGATGCCAACAATGTCACAACTACCAACTTTGCCAGGACTGTTTCTGGAGGGGCCATGCAGGAGGTTCCCATAGCAACCAGCACCAAATGAAAGAGTATACATCATGGGTAAGTGAGGTCCAGCTGCGTTTAAAGCTGGATGTGTGTTACGGTACATTGGTTAAGTTTCCCTGCTGCTAAGATAGAGACCAACATAAAAGGCCATTCATGGAAGAAACTGCCGGGTCACAATTCATCACTGAGGGGAGTCAGGGAAATAACTTCAGTGGGAACCTAGAGCCAGGAACTGAAGCAGAGGCCATGGAGGAACCTTGTTTATTGTCTTGCTCTAACGGCTTACTCAACAAGTTTTCTTATAGCACCCGGGTCCACCTCCGCAGGACAACATTCTCCACAGAGGGCTGGACCCTCCCGCATAAATTTTAATCATGAAAATGCCCCACACACTCTGCAATAGGACAGTCTGACAGAGGGGCATGCTCTTGTTTGTGATTTCCTCTTGCCTGATGACCCTGACTTGTGTCAGGTTGACAAACAAAAAAGCTAACCAGGACAGACGATGATGGAATTAAAGGCAAACTTGGCTTCTATTCCAACATTCCTCTCCCTTCCCTACCATTTCACATCTCTCCCTGTTTGTACCTGAACCATGTGTGGCTTTCTGAGACCTAAAATACTGGAAGAACCAAACTCTGTTTCTTCCCATGATATAGACGGGTCAATACTGATCTAATGAACAGGAAGTCAGAAAGCTCTAGATAACTTACTTTACTGTAAAGGATGTGTCTTACTAAGTTTCACTTTGTTTTATTTCTGTGCAAATTGGTAAAAAAAAAAAAAAGAAAAAGAAAAAATGCTGAGATCCCTAATTTCTTCCAAGTGCATGACTAGACAGGAATATGAGAATGTGAGCTCAGCAAAACTGGTGCACTTTCGGATATTTTTCCCAAGGAATGGAGAGGGAAATTTGTGGTTTTAAAATCATCTTTTCGTAGTGTGAGTGGTTAACTTAGGGCTAGCACGGACTGTGAGTGCCTATGTGGCAGGACCATGTGGCACTTGGTCTGTGGAGTAGACACTGCGTGCTTACTGTTTTACATGGCTCTCTGATTTCTGAACTACCTCAATTAAACTCAAAGTTCAGTTCTCCCTCTGTCTTGACATCTACTGTTTTGTGCCTGGATTGGTTGTTGTTGACAGTACCATCGCCCAAGCCAATGGAACTGATTAAAATGGTTCAATCACAAGAATGCAAAGTTGTATAAATCATATTTAAATGAACCATGTAGGCTTTATGTAAAGGGTAACTTGCCAAATATTTATATGTGCACATACATATTATGTTTCTTCCTGAGGAGACATAAACTAAAATCTATCTACCCAATGGGAACTTGGCTATCTCCAACTGTCCTCTCTAGAATGAGTTCTCCTCTCCTTCCTCCCTTACAGCTGTTAATCCTCCCGTGTGGGATTACCCTCCCAACCCTCAACACATGCTTTCCCACAGAAGGACTTCTTCCCTTCAGCTAGCACCCCACAGTGACTTTGAAGCAGGGGTGGGTAGCCTGATGATTTGTTCCAGCTTACAGTGGCTTCCTCTAACAAACTTCCTGACTTAGAGGGCAGAGTTCTTCAATAAATGAGTCGATCAGGAAATGAGTGGATGAACACACAACCGTTAGTAAAAACATTGAGTTCATCTGATAGACATAAAAGCTGTTACTGTTCTCTTTCTAGAAATCACCTGCTAAGAAGCTAACGAATGCATTAAGCAAGTCCCTGAGCTGTGCTTCGAGCCGAGAACCTCTGCATCCCATGTTCCCTGACCAGCCTGAAAAGCCACTCAACCTGGCTCACATCGTGTGAGTGTCTCTGATGTGTCTTCCTCCACGCACACATGTCTGGAACATTCATGCTAAGGCAACTGCACATCCATTGTCAGGGACCGAGTTTTTTTTTTTATTCTTCTACTCTTTTTATGTTGGTTATCATACAAAGAAATGAGTTTCACTGTAAACTTACCACATATTTACCAGTACACTTTGTTCCCATTCCCTGTGCCTCTTTCCCTTCTCGCTGGTGCCCTTCACCCCTTCTGTTTTCCTCTCCCTCCCTCCCTCCCTCCCTCCCTCCCTCTCTCTCTCTCTCTCTCTCTCTCTCTCTCTCACACACACACACACACACACATTTGTAAGCTTTAATTTTTTAAGTATAAAAGCAATAAAATGCTGGCATAAGCCAAACAACCTCAACAAAGCCAATATAAAAAGCCCACCCTGTAGACTGTGGCTAACTTGCTAACTTACTTTATACTTTTTAAAAACTATGCTCCGAAAAGTAAACCAGAAGTATAGAAACAAGAGGAGTATCCCAAGGGACCAACTGCTTATAGTGATGACTTTCCCAGGAGCTTTGAGTTAAAGCCATCTCTTACCCTTGGCATCACCAAGGAGACAAAACATCCAAGTTGCTCATGAAGGAACACAAGGTGGGAGGAGTCTGTGCTGTGTGACCTCTGCGGAGACTCGCTTTCCACTGACTGTTCCCACTTCCAAGGTGCTGGGCATGGAGGGGGAGAACGGATGGCCAGGGCCTGATGCTGAGAGCACTAAGTGTAGCAGAGCGAGGGTGCTGCTTCAGAAAAGTGAGCCACGCTATACTTACGCAGCCCAGGGTCTGTACAGTCAGAACCTGGGACCTGTGTGTGTGTGTACATGTGTTATGCGTGTATATGTGCATATGTGTTTGTATGTATGTGTGTATGTGTGTATACATGTGTGAGTGTATGTATGCATGAGTGTATGACTGAATATGTATGTGTGTCTATGTGAATATACATTTTAATGTGCTTTATAAAATGTATGACATTTAGTAGCAAGTTCTCTCACCACAAGCCTTTTATAGAGGACGATACAATGAGAATAAGAGAATGAACACTTTAATAAATACCAAACACTAATACCTCCCTGCACACTTAATGTTTTTAATATCTTATTCCCAAATATGACTTAAAGCGAAAATATCTAGGGCTGGAGAGATGGCTCAGCAGTTACTAGTACTGACTGCTCCTGCAGAGGACCAAGGTGGGCTCCCAGCATCCACCCAGCAGCTCACAACTATCTGTAACTAAGCCCCATTTCAAGGGACCCAGTTCCCACTTCTGACCTCCCCAGGCACCGGGCATGCATGTGGTACACTTATACACGTCTAGACAATGCTCATACACATAAAATAAAAATTATTAACAAAATATCTTTTTAAAAAGCAGAAAGATCTCAAACAGAGCACTATGGCCATAGTACAAAAACAAAAATAGTTTGAAATTTTTTATTTTTATTCTCTACCAGACACCATCCTGAAATAGCTTATGAATTGCTTCATTAATTTTGATACAAGCCGCATCTTTTCATTGTATGGATGTATGTTCATACACACCTGCCAGTCTGTAAATATCCCAGTGCACCACCTGTGCACACAGTAAACTCACAGGCAGAGGCAGTGGGTGGGGGTTGGGAGAGTCAGTGGACATGTTCTGTCAGGCATTGGGTGACCCAGAGGTTGAGGCACTGAGAAAATACAGCAGAAACTCAAAATACAGCATCTGTTGCATATTAGTATGAAAAGCATATTAATCTACAAATGACTACCAGCTTAGGAAAAAATCGCATCAATCGAATACCTGTGAGAAGGTATCTTCATGTGATAAGGGACACGTGTGGTCTGGGAGACCCATGTGTTTAAAAAGCAATCCTGTCGTCTTCAAGCGCATCTTGCTGTGTTAGTGTTAAAGCCTGATGGTAGTGTCTGAAAAGTGTATCCAGCCATGAGCAGAGAAAAGTCGTTCTGAGTTCCATTGGTAAAAACTGAGACAAAACCACATGGCTTGTGCCTAATTATATATAATAAATTAATTAGAAAATCGTCTCATTAAGACTCTTTAAATCTCCAGCTCTTAACTCTGGAAAATGTCCAACATGGTGGTGGTAAGACTGTGTAACTGAACAAACATTTTGCACGAAGCTTAGATGAGGAGAGACTGAATCAATAGAACTTTTAAACAGCCCAGTGTGGTGGCACAGACCTTCAGTCTCAGCACTGGGGAGGCAGAGGTAGGTATATCTCTGAGAATTCAAGGCCAGCCTGGTCTACGTAGCAAGTTCCAGGCCAGCCAGGGATACACAGGGAGACCCCATCTCAAAAAACAACAAGAAGAGCAACAATAACAACAATAAATCAGGTTGGGGTGCTACTAACTTTGCATATAGGAATGAATCACATGACAAAGAAAATGCTGTTGCCTTCAAGAGCCAGGGGATTTTACGCACATGTAGCAAAAAGACACTGCCAGTCATGAATTAGTTCTTAAATGGAAACGAACAGGTGGTGGCATTTGGCGGTGGCATGTGCGCTCAACGGTCGTATTGCTTGTTAATGTTGCCATGGCTAACATTTTCTATTCTGTTCCACTTCCCTGCTGCCAAAAAGTGATACTTGGTAAGTGATGGACACCCCTCACACGCACACTTCCCACAAACTGACAGCCGTCACGATCAGTAGTTACGAGATGGAAAACAGGTGAGCCGTAGAAGACTAGTTTAAAACTAGCCCGGCTCTGAGCGGAACCTTTGTGCTTAGGAAGAGGATGGCATGTCAGTGTTAGGTCTTTGTAAGTTCTCCGCTAAGATCTGTGCAGAAAAACGTCTTTGCATGTTGCCTCTGAGACTCATTGTTCATGTGGGCCTGCTCCATTTCAGTAAGAATTAACACATTAACATCTCCCGGGGAGTTATGCTGAGGAAGCAGACTTGCCACTTGGTAATGGAGAAAGGTAGGGACTTCAGTCGCTCTCAGAGCTGCTTTTTGCTGCTCCAGGTTCAATGTATTGATTGGTGACCCCTAAATCTGAAACGGTTTTGTAAGAAATCCCAATTTTAGTTTTGCAGTGACCAGGTTCAATAAAAAAAACTGGCTTAGTTAATTAAAAAGCATCGTCAATTCATTTGCTTTCCATCTCCTAGACATAGAATAAAATTTGACAGTCTTTTTTTCTTTTATAAAAAGAAAACAAGTAATGTGGGGTCAATTTTAACTTTTTGCAAAGTTATAATGAATGCATTTCATCCCAATTCCTGTTTTAAAATCTAATGTGCCTACCTTCCTAATTATAGAGGACACTTGGACGCACTGATCACCCCCTTTTAAAATTAAGTTATTCTCGTTACAGCACAATTAGTTTTAACTACCCTTATGTTGCTCCCCACCACAGAGACGCATCCTAGGTAAATAACCCAAAGTTCTCAGATTGTTTTCTGAACCCTAGTTGATAACTCCAGAGTGAATGACATAGTGAATCTGTTCTGACCTCATCCAAGAATGGAGCCACCAAGACTCTTGGAACGTGGTAAAGTTCCAGACACCAGGAAGAAGTTTCAGTGAACTTTCACAGACAGCGCTGATATTTTAAAACCTGCAGCATCACATCAAACAGGATAAATGAGTCCACGTTTTGCTGTGAAAGGCAAAAATTCAAAACTAACTTGGATTAATGTAAACCATTTACATTAGCTGTTAATCAACTCTCTTAGACTGCTGAAACTAATGTCTCATCTCCAAAATGTCCTATACTGTCAATTGCAAATATAGAATTAGAGTAAAACTAACATTTCTTCTTGGGGCTTGAAATATAACTCAGTCGGTAGAGTGCTTGTCTAGCACACGCAAAACCTGAGTTGGATTCCCAGCACCACATAAACCTAGCACTATGCATGGCCCATGCACCTGATCCCAGCATTCAAGAGAATCAGAAGTTCAAGATCACTCTCAGCAGCATATAATGAGTGTGAGGCTAGCCTGGGCTACATGCGATCCCATCTCAATAGGAAAATAAGTAAGTTTCCTCTCACTATGAATGACATCCGGTATATCCTTCATCTTCTGAGTTCTAAATTAGTGTTCAATAAAATGAGACAAAAAGTGTCTAGGAGATGAGATAGGGACTTGGATTCTGTGTTTTTATCTGATGTGGGTAACGCATGATGAAGACCATGGTGAGAGGAAATGGAGATAAAGCAGAGAGGAAGGCAGACCCAATGCAGGGGTGTAGCAGAGGAAGGCAGACCCAATGCAGGGGTATAGCAGAGGAAGGCAGACCCAATGCAGTTCTGGGGAACACGGTCACTGTTTTCCCTTACAACTTGTAAGAAGACAAAGAAGCTTATAGCATGATTGGCACCTGTGTCTGCCAAGTGGCAGGAGCAGGGGGGTCTTGATGCCGCTTCAATGCACTCAGATAGAGGGCAAACGAAACAAGACGTGATTTCGTTTTGGCGTGTGTCCTTTCAGACCAGCATATTAAAGAGGGCCACATCATGAGGAACACACAGAGCCTTCAGAATCCTTGACGTGTCCAGAAACATGCCTCAAGAAGGGATCGAGGCTCACAGCTCATGGAGATAGTCCCCTGTCACTCATGATCCTCCTCTGTGTGCTTGAGGAATTGTAACTTTCTACTGTTGGAATAACTCAGTTGGCATATCTAAGCTTTCCCATGGGTCTATGACGAGAGACAACTCTGATTCTCACCCTTTCCCTCGTGGGTGGCAGGAAGGTTGAATCCGTTACCTTGCCCTACCTTTTTCACGTGCCTCGTGCTCTGTTTCAGGCCTCCAAGACCTGTGACCAGCATGAACGACACGCTCTTCTCCCACTCGGTTCCCTCCTCAGGAAGTCCTTTCATCACCAGGAGGTACGTTCCCAATTCTGTCACTAAACACCCATCCCTTTCTGAATAAGCCTGATACTGCGGTGGGAAAAATACTCCAGTGTACGTCAAATGCAGAATATTATTATCATTAGTAGAAACAAGTTTGTAAACACCCATCACCTGTTCTCAGTCTCTCTCACATGGACGTGTGTAGAGGACTGGGCTGGCTCTTGAGGTTTACGTAACTTCTGAATGTGGGGTATGCTTCAACTTTACTACTTAGACATATGCAGGGGCGTATTATTAGAAAGGGTCTAAAGTGACTCATAATTTAAGAGTCCATGTAACTAGATGGCCTCTGGCATCCCTGAAGCCAGGGCTGAAGACCAAACCTAGAATACAGTTTCCATACAAATACTCGCATGGATAATATCAAGAACTTTTCAAAGATGTGGTTATGTGGCTTGACATTTTGCACAAAATCCATTCCATGAGCTCAAGGACCGAGAGACCCATGCACTCCTCTGTTAGCATTAGAACATGCAGGCTCACAAGAGGTGCTCTGGTTAATTTGGAGAAATATCACAGCCTAACACCAGGGAGTTACGTGGTGAATACATGGAGACTCTCACAGGAACCCAAGAAGATAGGTAAGGGAAATGACCTAGTGATTGGGCATAAGACCCCAACTGCCTTGCAGGAACCACTCCCATCCTTCCCTGAGAGGATGAGTAGGTGCCAACCTCCCTCCACAATATTCTGGCACATCCTAGAGAAGGTCTAAGTGAGAAAGACTTATCAATCCCACTTCTTGTTTTTCCCATAAGCTGGAGCCTGAGATGAAAAAGTCCTGCTTCCTTATAATAAGCAGAACAAAGAGAATAAGTTTCCACGGTGTTTGCAATGTATCAATTAAATCTGCCCTGAGTACTAACTGTGAGACATCGATACCACAGAGCACGCACAGCAAAATAATGAGATTTCATCATTCGGTAACTTCTTGTGACCATCCCTTTTCATAACCATCAGCACATAAAGCCATCTTTGCTAAAGGAAAAACTGTGTGGTCAGTAGGAGTCCTGTGCATCTCTCTAGTGATGACTCCGTGTGATGCTTAGAAAGATGCTGCGTGCTTTAGGAAGCTTTGCATTCTGCAGCCCCACACCGAGGCAGACCCCATCCTTACTGAAGGTCATTTTATATCATTTCAGCTCGGACGGCGCTCATGGTGGATGCGTCTAGATGGATAACATGACTTCCTGTACCCTAAAATAGTCCTAGAATAAATACTCTGAGTGTTTCTGCCTCCTCTATTAACCTAGAATTTGACTGCTTCCCTTTCTTCCCATTTTCGGTCCCTTTTTCTTGTTCCCTGTGAACCACAGATCTGTATAAAACTCGTGGTTCTTAACACTGAGGAGACTGGACTGCGGTTTTTGTTTTTAGGGTGTTGCTCAATAAAGCTGTGTACACTGACCTCGCATCCTCTGTGAGTGGGCCTCACTCTGTCCATGGGAGGTTTCATTGTCTGCACCCCCCAGGTCGCTTGAGTTCAGTGCACCCCCACAGCTCAGCATCCACCCAGAAAGCTGTATGCAAATCAGATTACCTTGGGGATTCTCAGTACCCCCACTCCAATGATAGCATCCATTAAACAGTTGCCAGAAAGCAACTGTTTCTACCCCAGTATGAAAATCCTTAGTCTTTTAGTGGAGATGGTGGGTCTTCAGGGGGAGATTTTGTGCACGTATACAAAAAGTTCCAAACTGGGCCATGTGTCATGCCCTAGATGGTAATTCCTACGACTCTTGAATTAGGATCCTTGAGGAATGGCTCATCACTCAATGAATAAGGCAAGAACAAGGGACTCTGGCTAGGCCTCAGTGCAGCTAAAGAGCTAAGGATATAACAAGCTTTAAGACATCTCTGTCCTGCTGAGCCAAGGCCATTTTCATGTCAAAGGAAGATAATCTGAATCGCACGGCAAAAGTGATTTTGGAGCCAGTGACTTGTTGCTGATGCTGGCTCTCTCACTTGATGATGCTGATACTGACTGGGCTGATGCTGGCTCTCTCGCTTGATGACGCTGATACTGACTGGGCTGATTCTGGCTCTCTCACTTGATGACGCTGATACTGACTGGCTTCTGCTCTCTTTACCACAACACACACTAAGGTGGATGCAACCGCATCACGTCAAAGGCTTGATTAAAGCTCCTCTTCCTCCTGTAACTAGAGGCCGACTAATGAAGCATGACCTAGAACCTGGTCCCCACTTCCTTCACGTCCCAATGGCCCCTTAATAGAGCCAGACAGCTTTGGGAAAGCTTGCACGGGCGTTTTGTGGAGACAGGGCTGTCAGTTGGGACTTAGGAGTCTTGGCGATCTGAGGATGATGAGGCAGACTGAGGAAGCTGAAATCACTACAGCAGGGTCCTCACTGCAGAGCCCTCCCTGGCATCACCCCCTCCAGTCCTTTACAAGCCTGCCGCTTTGATCTTCAGAAGGCACTAGACGTGTCTTTGAAGTCCTTTGCCATCCTCGTGACCTACCTCGTGCAGATTGGAACGCTGAACGCACCACCATCTGCCATCTCCCCCATTCTTATACTCTTTTCCAGCTACATATTCAACTCACTCTTCCATTAGCTAAAAGGAAGATGGAATTCTTAAAGGCACTCACCTGCAGTCCTGGGAAGTCTTCAGGCATAACATCTGTGTGTTGTTTGAACAAGTCTATATTCAATGCTACTTAGCAATTAGGTCAGAAGTGGGCCAAACAAATTCATAGACCAATTCATTTCATACATGGTATAGCTCTCCATAAGGTCAGCTTTCTCTTTTGGCATCATACCGTCCTTGTAAAATCTTAAAGATCTACCCGGATCCCTTGCTTAGTGTGTAAACAAGAGTCATCTACCTCTTTCCCATGTTAAGAAAACTCCTTTGACTATAGCCCATCTACTTCCCTAGACACGATGCCTCTTAAAAGTATGAATGGCTAGTTTCTTTTATGTTCAATGTTGAGAGTATGGTTTAAGGATTTCATAAGCATTTTCAAGGTTATAACTTTTAAAGGGGTAATATTCACAAAAATAACCACCTTGGCTATTATATATGGCACCTAGCGAGATCTTACCCTTGTTTAAATATTAGAAAATCGCTTATATAAATTATATAGTGTTCTGAATACAATCTAGTGCACATTTTTTTCCATTTTCCATTTTTTGTTCCTGGCACTGCATGAAGCCCTGTAGTACCTGTGAAAAGGGCACCTACAGAGGCACCCACGATACTACACCCCAACCAGCTCCCAAGTCCTGCTTCTTCCCAGAGGGGCAGCCTTATGTGACATTTTCCTTGCCTGACTTGTTGATCATTTGTTTTCCTGACTTACGTTTTCCGTCCAAAAAAGGACTAATTCCTTGTGTCTGTTTTTATTCTTTTCAAACACTTCTGCTCACCCAAAGATTCTTTATTTAATGGCCCAGTTTTTAACCTGACTTAAAAGGGTTAAATTATGTTACAGGCATTTGTGATTTGGTCATCTAAAGTAGTTAACAGAATTATACTGAATTCAGCCTTTGCTTCCGAAACGTTTTCCCATGGCTGACGTTGTCTAAGAGTGGAACTCATCCACCTTCAGCAACAAAAACAGGCAAATTTATCAATCAGTACCTGGCACTGCCTTGATGATTTTTCTCAGTATCTTTCCCGTTCCTGTGTATGTTGCATGAAATTCTATAAATAAAATGACCATACTCCATAGACAATCTTTATTTCAATTCATTTATAAGCTAAAATTAACAGTCTTCAAACAAAGTTCCTACTTCCATATAAACATGTCGACACATAATTAAAAAGTTAGAATAACAGTCTTCAAACACAGTTCTAATCTCCATATAAATACGTCAGCACACAATTAAAACTATGGTCATCTCACTCCATTGACCTTTCCTCTCTCACTGGGAAGCTTTAGTCATGTTTGCACATGCCCTGTACACAGAAGACTTCTCTACGACCTCTCTTGACAAGCATACAATTGGCACAACTGGGTGGTGATATAACGCAACAACATAACAAACGTAATCAAGCAGAACTGGCCTCAGAGATCTCCATGTCTTCTGCGATGCCTTTTAGGATGGCTTGGAGTTCATGTCAGCCTGAACTGACGGATAGTCAATTTTCTTTTCTAAAGATTTGTTTGTTTTATTCATGTGTATAGGTGTGTGCCTGTGTGAGCTATAAAAGCACCACATGCTTGCTGCCCATAGAGGCAAAAATTATTGTGAGCTACTAAGTGGGTGTTGGCAACTAACTCCAGGTGGTCTGAATGAGCAGTAAATGCTCTCAACTACTGGGCTTCCTGTCCATTCCTATGGGTAACTAACCTTCCTGATGGAAAGCTAACCTATTTTTATGCATAATTTTGATTTGCATATACCAGAGTTTTATATTTCAATCTGAGCTGTTGAAATGTAGGAAAGTAAAATAGAATGTTTCAAGAAGCTTTCTCTTCACTAAGGCAATGAGAGGACCCTTATTATTGAGTGTGTCAGTTTAATGGCCTCATCACTATGGAATAAATTAGTGAGAAGCGGGATTTTAATGTTGAAAATCTCTTGAAGAAGGAGCCGACTTCACAAGAATTCCTCACAGTCTGTCAGTTATTGAAGAATTCATAGAAACTAGATTTGTGCTTTTTTAATCTACAATGATTAAAATATCGTTTCCCTTTTAACCACTGTGATATGAAATATTTTATATTCCCTGAGATTAAATAGAATCCTTTGACACTGTGTTCAATAAGAGAAAAACAAATTTCCTTGGCCAGAGTTTAATAGAGTATTCCAACATAAGCAGAGTTATTTTAAAACACAAATTTCAGGTTTCAGCAAAATCCAATGGGCAGTTGTGTAGAATTTCACCTTAGGACACCCCAAAATATTCTTTCATTAAAGTAAAAATCATGACATAAGTTGTCAACCTTCAAAACTAACAGTAGAATTTTAACAATATATGAAAGATTTTGAAAGTGTTTGATCCTCCAAAACCCACTAGTTGTCCCTACTGGATATTTGTTTTAAATCTTGCATTCAACATCAGAAGATATATATGCCTGAATAATTTAATAAGGCTAATAGTAGTTGGTTTAAGAAGTTATTGCTATAATTTCTGATATTCAAAGAGCAAGAAGATTTTAGAGGGCAAGGAAGTTCTTTGTGTGGAGGAGGAGTGGCTGGTATTTCTCACAGCATAGTGAATGATTTGTGGACATCTGAAATCTGTAACAGATCCATCTGCCCTCAGCCAGAGAAAACGGTTGGGGAAACATTGAAAAGGAAGAAAACTGTGATTTTTGGATAAGGCATGTGTGTTGACTTGCTTCAGGGGACAAGGTTTAGAGAGCTGTTGGGTGGAATAATGGAACATTAAAGTAAACACCAACAGCATGGATTAAGGTGGTTATTGGTCATAGTGCAACACTCCTTAGAGCTTAGGGGACAAAAATCAATATCCTGAGAAACATCATTAAGGCCATAGGGAAATCAGGTCTTCTAGAACAGTAATCTCATGTATCAGTTTTAAAATCATGGAAATCTGTTGTGGGCACTGTAACAATCAGTAATAATGTATTCAATAGTTTAGGGTGGCTGGAAGAGTAGACTTTACATTACAAGTATACAAAGCAAGTATGTGGAATGTGGCTTTCCTTTGAGCCACCAAGCAGCTCCCCAGTCATGACACAGAGATGTATCAGTTATGATTGCTCGGCCTTAGCTTAGACTTATTTCTTGCCATCTCTTACAAGCTAGCCCGTTTCTCTTTATCTACATTTTGCCTCGGGGATTTTCACCTTTCCTTCATTCTGTATATCCTATTCCCTGCTTGCTCCATGTCTGGCTGGCTGTCCCAGGGCGTCTCCTCTTCCTCCCTCCCTCTCTTTCCTTCTCTCCTACTTATTCTCCCTGCCTGCCAGCCCCGCCTATCCCTCCACTGCCTACCTATTGGCCACTCAGCTTTTCATTAGACCAATCAGGTGCCTTAAGCAAGCAAAGCGAAGCAAATGCAACACATCTTTACAGAATTAATCCAAATGCAGCACAAAAAAAGTAACACATCTTTACATTGATAACAAAAGCAGCGTAAACAAATGTAACACACCTTCACATAAAGTAATATTCCACAGCATAAACAAATGTAACACATCTTTGCCTAGTTAAAATAATATTCCACAACACTAATCAGCTTGATTAATCATTCTACAATGTATACATACATCAAAACATCACATACTACCCCCTTTGTGGTTTATTTTTAAAGCCAATCTTACATATGTGCAGTTGTGCTTTTTAAACCCAGCAATACTTAAAGGAACAGATGTTCTCCTAATTAGCTGAGTGAAAGCGTCATAACTTCAACAAACATGGTTATCTGCTAGGCTCTTAATGGATAAAGTCTGACTTAAATGTACCAGAGACTTTTACTAGTTAAGAAGTCTTTAGCATATAGTCTTGTAAACCATATAATTCTATCCTAGCTGTAATGTACATAGTTATGATGTACATTTCTGCAGAGGGTCCAGCCTTCTGCAGGTCAGAGAGACTGGGAACGAGATGCTGAGTTGGCGAGAAAAACACACAGACTTCTTTTCTGAGGGATGAGAAGTTCGTCTTCTATTTTTTATTCTGTCTGCTGCATGTCCTACTCTATTCTTTTTCTGTCCTGTTCTTCCCTGACGTTTCCCTTCTGTCTCTTTCCTGATGCCTTCCTTCTCCACTATTTCTTCCTCGTTCCTTCTACATCTTTCCTGGTGGTTCCCTTCTAACTTCTTCATTGTTCATCTTACAGCTTGTATGCCCCCAGGAAAATCTTCCAAGCAATATAAAATTTGCATTGTGGTTACATTCTATCTTTTCAAGTCAATGAATACAATGAATACCAGTAAAAAAAACAATGTTTTCCATATCCCTTACATGATTAAACATTTTTACATATTACAGGTGAAAAACAAATTATCCCAAAACACACAGACACTCATACCCAGGCAACGTGTTATAGATTAACAGTATAAGCAAGCAAGGTAATTTTCTCAGCCAGTCCTTTCACTTGCAGTTACAAAGAAAGGATAATTTATTTTATCATTTATATCAAATGGTAATCTTATAAAACATCGTAAAAGAATCACAAATCTAAACGTTTATTTATGAAAACTGATCAGTCAGCATTGTTTCTATTTCTACTTCAAACCCTCAAAGCGCATACCCATTCATTAACCGAATTTTTTACATCATGAAGCTGAGGGCAGAAATGGCTACAAGGAGTTAGTCACCACCTTTGATCACCAACCCACCCTAGCAAGAAAGGTATGCCAGCCAGCAATAGCTGAGGTGCCATTGTTTTGTTCCCTGACTTCAAGAGTCCCTCACTCAAATATTAAAAAGTACACCTTTCTAAACTTTAAATTGTTCCCCAAAATTTTCTACCTCAAAGCCATTAACAAACGCATCTTAACCTAATTTTACAGTCTACATGTGCAAATTCTTTCTAAGGGTAGTGGTTGAATTAATCTGCTCCAGCAGCCATGCTTGGAAAAAGTCAGTCACTATTACCGTAAGTACCAGTGACACTGCTCAGTGAGGGGTTAGAAACCCCCTGAGAGTTTTCATACAACCCATAGATTATGAGGGATGCAGTGACCTCAGAGACAACAGTCAGAGCCATGCTCAGTAACGAGGTCCTTAGAGCACAGTCCTCAGGGCTCTGCCTCTCCAAGTCTCAGGCATGGCTTTGCCGACTGCCCAGCATGTTCTGTGAGTTTCAGTCTGTCTGATGGTCCTCTCATATGGCCCCGAACAAATTTCTGTGGTTTTAGGCTTTTAGTCTGAGAGAGTGTGGTACATTGTGATGCAACCTTAAAACCCGTACATTTTACATGGTTTGAATTATTTTGTAATACTTGGTATGTGAGATATGCCTGTAATGCATATGTGATATACAAACATGACACAGATGTGACTTCGAATTTCCTGGGACCTTGTGGTCTCTCATAGTTTAGAGCCCAGCTGTTAAATATTTGTATCTGAATAACCAGGCGAATAGAGACAAAGTTTGACCTTTAATTTTAAAAAAAACATACTGAAACCTTTAAAACTGTCCTTTAAATCACTAAACAGAAAAATCCTCTTAATGAATGTAAAATGTCAAAAATTAATCTATCCATTAGATGGCTATTAATAACCACGGAAGAAACATCAACATCATTAAAATTGCTCCAAACTGTATTTCTTTTATCTGAAACTTTTTTTTGTAGCTTCATGGCCAAGACCAGGTCATTGAGAACAGAGAAACACATTTGACATGGCAGCCATCTTTCCGTAATGCTCACGTCTGCACTGGAAAAATGACTGAAGAATTTAGGGAAACCGAAAGCAAACGTTTTTCTAAGATTTATTTTATTTTTAATTATGTGTGTGGGCATGTGCCATGTCTGGAACATCTCCACATACGTGCTGGTGCCCACAGAAGCCAGAGGAGTCAGATGCCCCAGAGCTGGAGTCACAGGTGTCAGTGAGCCACCTGATGTGAGTGTTGGGAACCAAACCTGAATCCTACAAAGGAGCTGGACATTCTTTTAACAGCTGAGCTATCTCTGCAGCCTGGAGGCAAATCTTTTAAGAAGCATCTAAACACTGGCAGGGCTTTATGAAGTACCGGGCTGTTTCCCTCATACCCCGGAATAAATGTTAGATGGATTCTCGTGATGTCTAGCCATATGCAATATAAGTGTTCCTTGTCAAACAAATAGCAGAAGTCAAGCCTGGGGTGGCTATTGTGGCCCTCAAATGGGTTTCTTCTCTTAATTAAAGTCTATGGAAATCTGGAGGCATCTTGAGCATTTCAAAATCCTAAGCCACATGTCCACACAGAGTGTGGATCTAGACTAGGAAGTTTATGATGCCGGTTTCCAGTCTCACTGTGTCACTGTGTTTACCCTCTTCCTGGCTTTCCCATCTTATTAACTAGCTCTCCTCCCAAGGACAGTGAAGTAGAACAGAACAAAATGCTGTCTAGGGCTGCTCCAGCCTTTCTGAAGGGCAAAGGGTAAGTTCAAGCCAGAGTGTGCTGGGATCCCGAATTAACTCAACTAAAGATGGCGTTCCTTTTGTTGTACATAGCTTGGGCGTGAAAAACCATTTGACCTAGACTAGCAGCTGTCTTAAAACTCACTAACAACATTGAGTCACTATTCCAAGTGGACACGCTTGTATTATTACTGTCCCTACTTCCCTTTTCCTTTTATCTGAATTTTACATGACTAACCCAATTTCCCAGAAGATATTTAATCTTTTTTGTTTGACATGTTTCGGTGTGTTTTCCATGCAGAAAAGTTCCTTGGTCTTTGTGGTCAAAGAATGCAAATCTGTTTTCTAAAAAGTTACTCAATGTTTTGAAAGTTAGTAGAAGGAAGTTATGGATTCCCTTGCCTGGGTTTTGCTTGGGTTTTTTGGTAGAACATCACATAGTCTCCCTTCACTGGCTTGGTTTTCTGAGTGCCTTTCCTACCACAAACTCACTCCTACTGTGTCTGCTTATTTTTGTCCACCTCTCTTAATTCTTCTTTCCTCCCACCCTGTTTTAGGATACAGTACAGTCTGAATGTGGCAAACAGACTAGCTGATGAACATGTTCTCATTGGGTTGTATGTCAACATGCTCCGGAACAACCCATCATGGTTAGTGCATCATAGTTAGGCTTGACTACCAGCATGTCCTTACAGAGGGGAATGGCCTGGGTTACTGACAAAGAGTCTTAACAAGGAGTTAGGGTCCTGCAATCCAAAGGTGAACCAGGAACTTTCCACCTGGTTCAATGAACCAAGTCTTTTGTGGTGGTGTTCTGGATATGTCCCACCACTGTATCTCAGAGTTCTCATCTTTGCTTTGCCTTGGCTAAAGTGAAAACTGGTGTGAATGGGGTTGACAATAACTATTACCATTTAGTAATGCCATCTAGTGGTACCATCTTGCAGGAGTCAGAGGTCCACCAGAAGGTTCTGTTCCTAGTGTCATATTACTACAACATGGAGGGAGTTCTTATTTCAAATCTTCAGAAAAGTTATGTGATCATAAAACAGAAATGACAGCATGGGATAAATTGTCTTTCAACAGTTCTCTCGCTGCCAAATGTATCAGAGGAGGCATCCTGATGAAGCCTGCTTTCAAGTCACAGAAATTATAAAGGTTATTTTAGATCAAATATTTGCACAGCTCTAGTATTAAGGGAAAATCATTTTCAAAGATTTTCACTCTTTTAATTGCGACGTGGAAGATTAATTAAAGTTATTTGCTTTAATAACAATATTCATTTGAAATTTTGAATTGAAGTGAAAGCAGATGATAGCTTTATTGTATGTATGTTCCATTTTGGTTTGGACTACCGTTACACAAACATACTTAGCCAAGAAATTCTTTACAAACATCCTAAAAACTCCAATTGTCTCCGAACTGAGGATCTGTGGGGTTTGTGATATTATAACTGTTTAAGAGAAGGTTTGGTTTCAGTTCCCACCAATGCGACTTACACAGCCAATACAGCAGGTCCTTTGTGTATAGTATGTAGACAAATGGGGCACAGGAAAGGTCCCAGGTAAGGTGAAGCTCCTGTAGATCTTCTCTTAGTGGCTTACTCCCTTCAGCTGGACACCACCCCTGCCTCTCATCACTTCCCAGCAATGACATCTTATGAATCCACCATCGAAGGATTAGTTAATCTATTCATTGTCTCAAAGTGTCTAGAATTTAGTTGTTTCTGGAAATATCATAACAGGTATTTCTGTGCGTCTCAACTCCCCCTGGGCACTGCATGACATGGTCAAAATTTTAAATAACTTTTTTTAAGTAATCCCCATAGCATCTCTCAATCACACAACAGACATATATCTATGCTACAGCTCTCACCACTCTGTTGTGGGATTCTGTTTCTAGAACACTCTCCTCCCATGATTGTTTGCAAACTTCATTCCTATTGCTGTTTCTGAGTCCTTAGACTGTTTTTTGCAAGACTGGTACATGAGAGACTCTTATAACTGATGGACTAGTGAACATTATTTGTCTCAATAAGTATAGATAATGAGCGTGTTAATTTGTATTTTTGACATATGCACAGCTGCCACACTGGTTTAATTTCATCCTGTGTTCTACTCCTTGAAGAGACAAAACCTCACTCTCCACCTTGCTCAAATTCCCTGAGCTTCTAAGAGTCTACTGAGCATCAGTGTCTACTTTCTCCTAACTCAGCCTCTCCAAGCTACATGTTACTTTAATCTTATTTACAACAAATGTAGTATCCCAATGCTGCACAGTGACTGAAAAACTGAAGAGTAATACTGAATTGCTTTTTTTAAATCTTGTTGGTCATCTCTGCATACAGTCAGTATGGAGTCAATGAGAAGACAGCAACAGTTACTTCACCCTGTGCCCACCTGAATACTTCTACACATGCCCCAACCACTTCCGCCCCACTCCTTTGACCTTTTCTTGGTGAAGGTTGCACCAAAGAAGTCTCCAAAGAGAAAAGCTCAGAGTTTGTCACTTCCCATCATTTTCCCTACTCAAGCGACTAATTGTATTGATTCCATCTTCATTTTAGACCATAAAACTGTCCAGCAAAGACACCTTACCTCTGCTTGGTAAGAGCCAGGAGGGGTTTGCACGGTGATACAAAGCAGGCCTTAAAACTGATGGGCAGCCGGGCGGTGGTGGCGCACGCCTTTAATCCCAGTACTCAGGAGGCAGAGGCAGGCGGATCTCTGTGAGTTCGAGGCCAGGCTGGACCGACAGCCTCCAAAACAATACAGAGAAACCCTGCCTCGTAAAAACAAAAACAAAAAACAACAAAAAAAGACTGATGGGCAAGGCTGACTCTGTGGGAAACGCTGCCTCCATGTTACTTATAGCTTGTGTCCTTATCTTCAGATTTCTCATATTTTCCTCACTTTCCTTTGTGCTTAGTCAGCAGTTAGCACCATCAGCTGATAACACCTGTCATGATAATAGAAATGAGACAATGATCTCTCCAGTGTAGCCAAAACCCTTTACCATTGGTTATGGTAAGAGATAATGGTGCATAATGACAGGTAACTAGCACTTGCCTCACGCTAACATCCCTGTTAAAAATCTTTTGGCACATGGCTTCTTCTAATCCTGAGAGTAAGCCCACACAGTAAATAGACTCATCCTCATTAATAAATAAGATATCATTTTAGGGAGTTTACCCACCTCCCCCATCATACAGCTGCTAGCTAAATAGCGAACAGAGATTTTAAGCATTGTCCATCCCTATCCATAACCACTATGATACATCACTTACTACAAAACCCTTGTCAATGTGTGTCCTCCGGACAACTTCCATGGATAGCATCTCCATCTAGCTGACAGCCTCCATTGTCTACTTACCAAATCTACTTTTTATTACACTATTTTTATTTCCTTTCAGCAAATATTTTAAGCACATTATCAATAAGCATAGTAGCTACTAACATGTTACCCTTTATGAATTAGTACCATGGTTTTTATTTTACTTCATTTTAATTTTAAGACTTAAGTAGGCAAGAATTTTCTCTTTGGTTTCATTTATGAACAACAAATCAGCCAGAATAGCAGTAAGTCTTAAATTTGTAAAATGTTTCAAACATTACAGTTCTGGTTGCCATACTAAACTATTAGGCTTGCTTCTTTAGAAGACTAATTTCCATTTTACTGATGAGAAAATGTTATCTCACTGTGTCACACTGCAGCTTCCATGACGAGATTGATGTTTTTCCTTCTGTCCTTTTTTTCCTTTTTCTCTCAAATTTTATTTCATTTTATTGGGGAGGTTGCAAGGGAAGAGGGTGGGTATGAAGGGACATGGAAATGAATGAGACACCTAATGTGAAAGACATAAATAATGAATACAAAGAAAGAAAGAGAAGAAAGAAAATGTGGGCTTAACGCAAGATGTAAGGAATGATCCGAGACTGAATGGTGGTGAGGGCTTACACACAGGTCTTCTGGCCCAGCAACCCATTCTCTTTCTGACCTTACTAAGAAGTGAGATGTACTGTATTAATTATGTAACACAGTGGAAAACTGGTTCCTTGTAAATACTCTGCTTCCACGTTAAAGAAACAAGCCAAACAAGTAAATGGCAGCCCAATGAAAATGCAGGATTGTAGATGGATTTTTCTTTGGGCTGCCAGCTCATAAAAAAAAAACCACACATTGACATTATTAATTATAAAAGCTCGTCTTATAGCTTAGGTTTGTCCTGATGATAACTTAAACTAACCCATCTCTATTCACCTACATGTTGCCCCGTGACTCCTGGCTTTTATCTCTCCTCCTTCATGTCTTACTCCCTTTGCCTCCAGCTGGAGGCTCTACCTTTCTTCTCTGAGAACTCTCTGTCCCCAGAAGTCCTACCTAACCCCTCCCTGCCTAGCTATTGACCATTCAGCTCTTTATTAAACCAATCACAGTGACACATCCTCACGCAGTGTAAAGGAGTATTCCACAGCACATGATGCCTTCCTGGTTGTTTTGTGGTTTGTAAGAGCATTCTCCATGAAGGCAGGACAGAGTCTCCCATGGAAACACACTGAGACCGTGTGCCCTCTGCCCTCTGTAAAGCTTACCACCTACCTGGACACACCAGTGGTTATGGAGAGTATCTGTGGCAGGCAGAACAGAAGACTGAAAACAAATCAGACTTCTGCTTCTAACCACAATTGCATCTAAGCATATATTGCTCAGATGGCCTAGTATGTTGCTTAAAACTCTGTTAGGGAAGAAGGGGGAATAGCTAAAGGCCAACTGAAATTTGCTGTCATGGTCAGTTGCTGTCTCTGAATTAAACTCCTGATCTACAATGAAGTTAAAACTGGTCTGTTCTTGTTCTTGAGTACAAGAAACTGTTTATTATATTAGAAGTAGATTTATTGCTAAGTGGATTTGTAATACAGCTGATTTTAAATTGTCCCTCAGGCCTGGGGATGTAGCTCAGTTGATAGAGTGCTGCCTAGCATGCACGCATCCCCAGGTTTGATGTCCAGCACTACATAAACTAGACATAGGGTCACAGGCTTATAATCTAACACTCCTGGAAGTGGAGGCAGATGGTTCAGAGGTTCAAGGCCACACTTAGTCAATCAGTGAGTTTGAAGCCAGCCTGGACTATATGATACCTTGTCTTAAGAAAAATAAAATAAATACAATAAAAAAGCACCACAATATTTTATGTTGTAGGAACCTCTTCTTGATTGGCACCAGTCATGTTGAATTAGCGCCTACGTCTTGTGATTTCATGTAACTTTAAACATTGTTCAAAGGCCTTGTCTACTAAGGATAGTCATAGTCTAAAGTTAGTGGGGTATTGGAACTATAACAAATAAATTCGGAAGATTCAATTCACTCCATAACATGCACCAACCCAGAGTCCACTTAGCCTGTGTGTCTGTATTTTTAATGTGTTGGCTAAATGTTGGTTGAATGTATAACATTTATTATAACTTACCAGGTTGTAACGTTAAGGTCTTAATAGAGTATTTGAAAACAGTCTTGGGAGAAGACACGGTACAAGTTTCCATTGTTACAATCTAATAATATTGTTCCATGAGTTCCTGCCTTTTCTTTGCAAACCACTAGAGCAAGGTAATAAACTCCAAAACTTAGCTCTTTCCTTCCCCATTTTTTC